TGTACCGGATATGTATGTGTAGGCTATCGTATGAACGTAATTACAAGTAATGAGTATTTTGTGTATGCAGTCTGAGTATTATTCCGTTAGTCTAAGTCACACAATTCCACAATATTGTCATATGGCTGGCGAAATGAGGAAGGAATGCAGGTTTAATTTAGTGTTTTATCTTATCATTCAGGCATTTTAACCCATTTTCCTTTGTTTTTTTTTTGTTTTTAATTTATTTGTATTTGCTCGTCTGTCACACACGCGAAAAGATATATGAAATTATCTATATTGCATTTATGATTTAACTGTTATGGATGTTGTTGTGCGACAGTGAGACAACAGCGCCCACAAAGTGAACTTTACACACATACAAACAAATAGAGATAAATATGAGTGTATGTACATATGTATGTATATCGAAATATGTACGTTTGTAAATTAGCAAATATTTACACAACTCGGCACAGAGTTTTTGTTGCTGTTCTTCATCATCATCATTCATTTCTTATCATATCTGAATTGTTTCCATTTCTTATCTTTCGCCATGTTGGTATTCTCTAATTGTATATCTTAGTTGTTGATAAGTAATATGAACATAAGACATTTTCGAAGGCACAGCCGAAAAATGAAAACAAGCTAATAAATTATTCTGCAAAAACACTGTTTCTTCATTCAATGCGAGGGTGATCGTAGTTGTTGCTAAACGGCTGACAAGAAGCAAACGAGTTTCTCCACTTCCAAGAATTGGTCTTCGATAACGTTCTTATGGCATCAGGTTGTTGGTCTTGCCGTCTTGCTTCTGTTCAATTTTATTTCCTCTCGTGAAACAGACAAGTCTTATATTTTTGATTATATTTGATCTGCGATATCGTATTTGGGGCTTCCTGTTGAAATTGGTGGACTTTTTTCTTTTGGCAAGTTGATAGTCCAAATTGGCTCGAAAGCGAATGGTATCGTTGGTCTTGGAGTCATCGAACGACTGGGACGAAACCGCAGCGTGCCGTGAATAATAGCTAATAGTAGATTCTAATTTTGTTCACACTGCGGACAAATAACTTTATATGGATGTAGAAAGTAGGTCTGGGATTTCTATCCGGTTTGTTCTACTATCACTACCTTCTTCCATATGGAAAAGGATTGTGTTCATGCGTTAAATGGAAGAAAATGCGCAAAACACTCGGCAAAAAAAATGTAAAAAAATAATTGCAATTTTTAGCGACTGGAAATTTTTACTTTATTATATTAAAATTTAAAGGGCTCTAAGGGTGCGTTCACACAGAAGAGCATCCGAACGAGCGGAGCAGCGCCGAGCTTTCAAATTAATGTAGCTAAAGTGTTCATACAGCAAGCTCTTGAAGAAGGAAGCTGAAAGTAAAGAATTTTTGTGTTTTTAAATTTTGTTTTTGATGTTTCAGCTTCCTGACTCTGATGCGAATAAAAAATTAAAATAATTAAAGGAAAATACATATATTTTTCAAGAAAGCAATTGAAACAAATTGAACGCATATTTCAGCTGGTTTTCATTGAATGTCAGTTTTGTGATATGTTTACGGCCGATTCCATGGAAAAAGCTCCGCTCCGCTACGTTCAGTGTGACCAGCAGCTCCGCTCCGCTTTTCTTTTCTTCGCTCGACGCCACTTAGCATTCTGTGTGAACGCACCCTAAGAATTCGAATTGAAAAGCTGAAAATTTCGATGCATTTTTTTTTATTTCCCCCGAGTTCCGTATGAAATTAAAAAAAATTGATTCTTGGTGGTTTTCCTGCTGAATGAACTATATATAAAAAAAACTATTATAGAAAATAGAAATAAATAAAATCGTCAAAACGTCAGGGTATACTTATTTTTGACGCTCGCTAATGCTTTCTTTTCACTATCACTTGTTGGCTTGTCCAACATTCTGTTGACGTTATAATGGGGCAGAGGAGTGTGGGAAGCCGCAGCAGGCGCGTAAAATTAATAACAGCAAAGCGAAAATGTCCAAAATGTATTTGACAGCTGCTTGGCGCTTATGGTCAGCAGACGTAGTTGGCTATGCTGATAATATTTGATTAGTGATTCGGTAAAAATTATGGCCATAAGTTGGAGATAGGCCGATGCAGAGTCTCAACCTTTTTTCCCTTCAATTCCCGCAAAATGTTATTGTTTAGTCGAAAATTCGAGTATTCGATAGCTGCTGTCAAATAAATGGCGCGAACTCATCAAATTCAGTTGCACACGGGAGTAGATCAATTAGCAGTTCTTCATTTCCCCTACTATTCGATCTACGTTTCGTTGTAGCGCGACCCAGCAGTCACTTAGCCGCGCCATCCGCCACTGTGCCATTGCGAAATGCGAATGCGAATTGAAAAATTGAATCCATGCATGCCATGCATGGCATAAAAAAGCGGCGGCCAAAGTGGAGCGCGGCGTTGTGTGTTGGCTCGCTTTGACGTCAGTCGCACTGTGCAAAAGATTTTGACAGCAATTAGTATGACGTGCATGATCGCACACACCTTCCACTGACTGACGGCGGCGACAGCGGCAGCACCAAGAATTGGTGGGGGAATGTGATCGCAATCATAAAGGGGAATATAACGGGTGATTTTTTTGAGGTTAGGATTTTCATGCATTAGTATTTGACAGATCACGTGGGATTTCAGACATGGTGTCAAAGAGAAAGATGCTCAGTATGCTTTGAAATTTCATCATGAATAGACTTACTAACGAGCAACGCTTGCAAATCATT